GAATGTGTTGTGAATTCAGGTGAGTCTAAGGAATGAGAATTTAGAATTCCTTACCTAAGGAATGTTGAACATCCCTTCTGTAATCAATGTGATTGTGTATTGCAGTGGAATTCACTGTAGTTTTAAAGACATTCCACACAGAGAACCTTTCTTTGAAAACCTATTGATGTTCTGAAGAAAATTTTGACGGGTATTGTTGGTAGTACACTTGAGGGATGTGGCTTCCACATCTGGTCTAATATTACTAGGCATTAGACCAGTTATAGCTTTGAGAAACATGTTCATTAAATTTGTAGATGACAGGGGGAGAGAAATTGATTACTTGTTGGAGCAAAGAATTACAATTCTCTCTAAGATCTTGATGGGCTGGAATGATGAGCTAAATCTAAAGGGTTAGCTTTAAGAAGAGATAAGGAGAGAGACGCAGTTGAGGATCTGACTCTTGGTTTTGGCTAGTGTTGTGGTCCCTGGGGTCGTGAGATGGAGCCCCAAGTCAGGCTTTGAGCTCAGCAGGGAGTCTGCTGGAGATTCTCTCTCTCTCATTAGAGTAAATAAATAAAATCTTAAAAAAAAAAGTAGAGATGAAGGTAAAAAAAAATAAAGAGGGGAAGGAAAGAAAGAAGAGAGGAAATGAAAGGAAGGAAGAACACAACAATAGATTCAGCTCAAGTCAAGAGAGTGATATGTCTGGAAATTAACAAACCTATGAATAAATACCTAGATTTAGCACAATCTTGGGCTGCATCATTGGCAAGTGTGTAGATCTCATGGCTATATCTGGATGTTAATCCTGGTTCCAACAATGACTGGTTGTATAACTAGGTGTGTGTTATGTAACTTCAGTTTCATTGCTTCCCAAATGAGAATTCTAAAAATCAATAAAATTTTTATAGCTAAAAAGATAACACACATTTTTGGAAGAAAATTCGGAAGTGGAGAAAAGCATGAAGAAAACAGTAGTCACCCATTTCTCTCAAAAACACTATTAAGAGTTTACTGTTGCCCTTTATGCTGGTAATATAGCTGGTTTGTGCTATGCATGCAGTTTGGCCTCTTTGTTTTCTTCATTTAACGTCACGTTATAAGCATCTTACTTTATTAAACCTCTTAATTATAACAGTTTTAATGGCAATATAATAGTTTGTCTTATGAATATACCCCAAGTGATTGAAATGTTACTTTTTGTTAAGCATTTATTTTGTTTCCTTATAAAGAATTATTAAGGCATACTGTACACATGTTTGTGGATTTGGCTCCATATTCCAGGCTATTTCCTTAGGGTAGATCCTTCAATGTTGAGAGAACTGATTCAATGCATATGACATCTTTTTTTCTTTCTTTCTTTTTTTTTTGGGGGGGTGTAGGGGCAGAAGGAGAGGGGAGAGAGAATCTTAAGCAGGCTCCATGGCCAGCACAGAGCCCAATGGGGGGGGGCTCAATCTCACAACCCTGAGGTCATGACCTGAGGGAAATCAAGAGTCGGATGCTTAACCTACTGAGTCACCCAGATGCCCCAATGCATATGACATCTTAAATCACTTCTTGAATACAGCTGATTATCTTTGGGGCACTGGGTGGCTCAGTCGGTTGAACTGCCAGCTCTCAATTTTGGCTCAGGTCATGATCTCTGAGTCCTGGGATTGAGCCCCTTGTCAGGCTCTGTGCTCAGCGGCGAGTCTGCTTGAGGATTTTCTCTCTCCCTCAGCAACTGCCCCCCAACTCTCTCTCTCTAAAATAAATAAATAGATCTTAAAAAAAAAAAAAGAAAAACAGCTGATTATCTCTCCAGAAAGGATATGCTTAGTATCAGAGTGCTAAAATGAAGATTACTATTTCTACTTCAAAAGTACTAAGTATCAGTCAATGCTATTGATAGGGCCTCAGTAAGTCTCCAGTGTTCATGTCAATACAGAATTACATTGTTCCTGGCACTGTGCTAGTGTCCTGGGCATTAGTGAAGAATGGGACCCAATCGCCCCTGCCCTCATGGAGCTTAGAGTCCATGGAGGGGACAGAAATACACAAGTAAACACAGAAGCAAACACATCGTTCAGGAATGGTCAGATCCCTGGTTATAGACAATAGTCCTTTTCCGATAACTGTTTGCCCCCTTAGTGTTTAATTCATGGAGATCAAATATTTGGGGTAGAAGATCCTCCCTTACTCTGCATAGAGAGAGAGGCAGCCAGGTGTGTGCTCCTAATGTTGCTCCCAGAAAAGGAGTTAAAATTTTCAAGGAACAATACTCTCAGAAACTGATGAACTTTACCCCACCATGATTCCAGCCATCTTCTAGCCCTCCTACCCTACATAAGGCTGTGCCAAACAGATGACCCAGTAGGGGCAGATGCATTTAGGAAGGGAAAACACTTTACTTGCAAAGCCTGCAGGGCATCAGACTTTAAAAAGACTGGCTTGTCAGACACAAAAACCCAACAAATATTCAAAGGATAAAACTGCAAATCAGCAAGAATACTAAGGTTGTATTATTCTCTTTATGGTGGAAAATAACATTCTTACATGATTATCATATTTTCAAAGGTCATGACACATCTTTAGACATCAGCATAGCAAAAATAATAAAAACACATTCTTTTGGGCATCCATAAACCAGTCAGGGTGATCTTGTTTTGGTTTAACCCAGGGTGCAATGTGGTCCCCTCCCCCTTCATACTGTGCTATCATGAATTGCTTAATCATTGGAAGAAAGGCGAAGTGTCAGTTTTTGTTTCTGCAAGAGATGTGGTATGGGGTGTGTGTGTGTGTTGGGGGGAGGGTAAATACCCTAGTGCTTTTTATGCTACTCTTCATTCTCTTGCCAGTACCTCTCATTGGCCAAATTCAACCAGAAAACCACAGGGTGAAGGAGACTGGCTAATGCAGTCCTTGTGACTAGCCTCCCATGGGGCAGAGCAGGGTGGAGAGTGGGTCTGGGGAGCCGACCTAGAATAACCAACAAAATCTTCCTTTTGCAAATTACTAAGAGGAAGAGCAGTCTCTGAAAGTGACAGAAATGGAAAAGTGAAAAAAGATGGGAAAGTGTCCAGAGAGGTAGGAAGAAAGTCTGGGTAGAATAGCATTACAGAGGCTACGGGTGAGGAATTTCAAGGAGTAGAAAGTATCTGGCAGCTTCAAATGCAAAGCAGATCAAGTCAAAATAGCTGTTGGATTCAATGATTTGGAAGTCATTGGTGACCTTCATTAGAGTGGTTTCAAGGAGTAAGATGGAAACTGGATTGCCTGTGTTAAAGAAGGAGTAGGGAAGAAGTAATGGGAAGGAGATAGGGAGGCATTAGAGGGTGATGTAAGATTGAGGGAATGTGTTATGGGTATGTTCAAGGTCCTATGTTATAGGTCCAGCGCTAGTGAGGATGATGATGAGCTGCCTTCAAGTAGCTTTTGTTATTTCTTTCTGTGAAGTTGAAGGCTTGGTCATCTACTGTTAGTGAAGAAGGAGGTAGCAGAGGGAAGACTTGAAGAGACCAGGGAAATGTGTACTAGTCTTGGTGGGGACCAGAAGGAGGAGCTCTTTAGAGGACTGGGGACAGTGCTGGGGTTGGTAATGCCCCTTTGTTGTGGCTCCATTTGGCAGGACTTTGTAATCTTTAGTCCTGTTCATCCTGGAATAGGTATGTTGGATATTACAGAAGGTAACAGGGTTGACAAAAGGTCAAGGAGCCAAGGAGAGTGGCAATATTGGCAAAAAACTAATGGAAGAGATGAACCATAGGTCTTGGTTGGGTGGGGGAAGGGAGTAAAGCCCAAAGGAGGCTTATTTGGGGGAACTGGAAGCATCAAGGTGGTCTTGAAGAGGTGGAAGAAGAGAAATATTAATGATTATTGCTAACAGTCATGGAGAGTTTACTAGGGGCCAGACATATTTACTTCTCACAATAATCTTAAGAGTTTTGTTCTATTGTTATTTTTATAGATAGAGAAATTGAAGCAGAAAGTTTCAATGAGTTGCTCTAGGTCATACTCTTGGTCAATGGCAGATCAGAGATTAGAAACTAAATGGTCCAATCCCAGAGGCTGTGCTCTTGAGAACCAGGCAAGGGATTAGGGAGTAGAGAGATTTGTGGTCTGGGTATGGTATTCTGTGACTTAAGATTTCAGTGCTGATGCAAACAGATACTTACACACCTATGTTCATGATAGCATTATTCACAAGAGACAAAAGGTGGAACCAAACCAAGTGTCCATAAACAGATGAATGGATAACAAAATGTGATATGTACACACAATGGAATACTGTTCAGCCATAAAATGTAAAAGAAATTTGAAATATGCTACCACATGGATGGACCTTGGAAACATTATGCTTAGTGAAATAAACCAGACACACAAGGACAAGTATTGTATGATTCCACTTGTGTGAAGGTACCTAGAATAGGCAAACTCAGAGAGACAGAAATTAGGATAGAGTTAACTAGAGGCTGGAAGGAGGCCATATGGTGAGTTATTGTTTAGTGGGTACACAGTTTTTGTTGGGGCTGATAAAAAAGTTTTGGTTATGCATAGAGGTGATAGTTACACAACATTGTGAATGTATTTGATGCCCTTGAATTGTATGCTTACACAGGGCTAAACTTATAAATATTATGCAATGTACATTCTACCACAATTTTAAAAAAAGGATTTCACCCTGTGGTGAACTACTTCTGGGTGATTACAACAAAAAGTCTTATTTAGAAGCGAGTTGCAGAATTTATTTATTTATTTATTTATTTATTTATTTATTTATTTATTTATTTATTTAAAAGATTTATCTGAGAAAGAGAGAGAGAGCACGAGTGGAAGGGGCAGAGGGAGAGGGAGACAGAATCTCAAACAGACTCTGTGCTGATCATGGAGTCTGACGTGGGCCCCATCTCAACACCATGAGATCACGACCTGAGCTGAAACCAAGAGTCAAATGCTTAACCGACTGTGTGCACCACCCAGGTGCCCCAGTTGTGGAGTTTAGCCTGGAGGTAAAGATGGTTAGGGTTGGGGAGCTCAGGAAAGGGAGAGGCCAAGAGTTGAATGGGTCACCCAGCAGGAGCTCTATGTCCTGACATTAATCTGTCCTCAGGGGGCAGCACGGTGCCATCAACAGGCTCAAGGCACTGAATGCATGGAGAGTGCAAATCAAACTGGGATAATTCACTTCCATTTCCGCCCCTTCTCCAAACTCCCTGAGGTGCAGATGCTGATTTTCGTGGCCTTCCTGATCATGTACCTGGTCAGCATCAGTGGCAATGTCTCCGTTTCTCTCATCATCTGGATTAACCATTCTCTGCACACCCCCATGTACTTTTTCCTGGCCAACTTGGCAGTTCTGGAGATCTGCTACTCTTCCACCATTGCCCCGCTGACTCTGGCCAGCGTCCTGTCCACGGAGAGAGACTTCATCTCCTTGCCTGGCTGTGGTACCCAGATGTTCTTCTTCACCTTCCTAGGCAGCGCTGACTGCATTCTACTAGCTGTCATGGCCTATGACAGGTTTGTGGCCATCTGTCACCCTTTGCGTTACACTCTCATGATGAGCTGGCGGTTGTGTGTCCAGCTGGCCCTGGGGTCTCTCGTGCTGGGGTTCATCTTGGCCATGCAGCTGACTGTACTCATCTTCCAACTCCCCTTCTGCAGCAGTAAAGAAATCAGCCTGTTCTATTGCGATGTCCTCCCTGTCATGAGACTGGCCTGTGCAGATACCTGGGTCCATGAGGCCACGCTGTTTGTGATCAGCATCATCGTCCTCACCATCCCCTTCCTGCTTATCACTCTCTCCTATGTCTTCATCGTGGCCACCATCCTGAAGATCCGCTCAGCAGAGGGGAGGCACAAGGCCTTCTCCACCTGCTCCTCCCACCTGACTGTGGTCCTGCTCCAGTACGGATGTGGGGGCCTCATCTACCTGTGCCCCAGCTCCAGCTACTCTCCAGAGAGGGGCCAGGTAGTGTCTGTGGTTTATACATTCATCACCCCTGTGCTGAACCCCTTGATCTACAGCATGAGAAACAGAGAGCTTAAGGATGCTTTGAAGAGAACAATGATCAGATTCCTGTTGTCCTAAACACAGTAAACATTCTGGATGTTCCTCTCCAACATTGCTGGGAAGAAACAAATGAGTATGCTTTCTGGGAGATGAGGAGGTGGGAGCTAAGAGGTCATTGGATTTATACTGTTACTTCTTCCTGGTTATATTATTTCTGAGTCATTTTTCTTTTCTCAGCCTCGGATTCTTCATCTCTAAAATGGGGATGAAAATGCCCACTAGACTTAAATCTGGGGTAGTTTTGAGCACCCAAAGTGAAAATACTTCGTGATTTTTAAAGGGCAATATGGCAGTGAATGTGGTCATTGCTTATCCTCATCATTACATGTGAAGTCTGTGTCCGGTTCTCAGGTTCTTAGTGGGGTCACATGTTGACACATGTACTCAGGGCCAGAGCCAAGAACAAGATGCACATCAAACCAGGACCATCGCAACCACTCTCTGCTGATTGCCGTGGTGCAAATGCTGAGCTTATACCTTTTCGAATTCTCTTTCATCCTAAATTCTTCTTCCTGGGAAAGGTGATGGGGAAAGTGCTGGAGTTTAAAAGTTGTGGTTCTTTTTTCTTACCTTTATACCCAGAGCTAATCTGTCTGCACCTCAATCTCTGACTCTGTATTAGTTGTTAGTCTGCGTCTAACTCACTCTCCCCGTGCCTGTTGGGTCTCCTCCCCATTGTGTCCTTTCTGTCTCAGATACACACACACACACACACACACACACACACACACACACTCACATGTTTCACATTTCTCTCTGTCCCTAGCTGCTATGGTCTGATTATTTGTGTCCTCCTATCTCAGGTTCATCTGTTGAAATCCTAATCCCCAATGGGATGGTATCAGGAGGTGGGGCTTTTGGGAGGTAATTAGGTCTTGAGGATGGAGCCCTCAGGAACGGGATTAGTGCATTCATAAAAGAGACCCCACAGAGCTCCCTGGACCCTTCCGCCATGTGAGGATACAAGAAGTCTGTGACCTGGAAGAGGTTCCTCACCCAACCCTGACCTCAGACTTCCAGCCTCCAGAACTGTGAGAAATAAATGTCTGTTGTTTACAAAGCCACCCAGTCTATGGTACTTTGTAATGGCAGCCCGGATGGACGAAGACACGAAGTGTACATACTATGGAAAGATTGCCTTTTAAAATTGAGCCTCTCTGGGTAGGAGAGGGGTAATGTTGGTTCAGATCTGGATTCAGGTTGAGGAAAAGCTAGTTCTGTGAAGATAAACACTGGCTGGACACAACGAGGGGAAAGGACTCTAATGTGGCTGTGAGCAGGAGGGTAATTGTTTCAGGACGATCCCTGTCTCAGGGTAATGGCATCAGAACATCAGAACATAGATAGTTTACTGTCTTTTTGTAGGGTGGGGGAAGCTCATTTACTCCTCTGCCCATTGATTAGTGAGGGATTTATTGGGGTGCTTGACTGGCTCAGTTGGTGGAGTGTGCGCCTCTTAATCTCAGGGCTGTGAGTTCAAGCCCCATGTTGGGTGTGGAGCCTACTTTAAAAAAATAAAAATAAAAAATTATGAGTGATTTATTCATTCAACAATATTTAAGAAGATAGTAAACAACTATTTATGGAACTCTGCTATGTACTATGTACCCACCCGCGGTAGGTGGAGCAAGAAGTGGAAAGGTAAGTAAGAGGCAACTCCTGCCTTGAAGGAGGTTAAGTCTAGTAGTGTTTAAGAACACAAACCATGATAGCCCAAGGGCAAGCGATACAATGCTATGAGCTTCTGGAGGAGGGACAGATAAAGGAATCAAGGCAAGTGTGATGGGGGAGGTGGCATTTGAGCAACACCATGCCTGTGTCCAGGTCTCTCTCTGTGTGCAAAGAGGAGCAGGAAGGGCATTTCTTTCTTCCTTCTTCTTTCTTTTTAAATTATTTTATTTATTGAGAGAGAAAGAGAGAGAGAAAGAGAGTGTGCCTGCTCGTGTGGGAGGGGGGTGGGGGGGGGAGGGACAAGCAGACTCAGCTGAGCCTGACGAGGGGCTCAGTCTCATGACCCTTAACTGACTGAGCCACCCAGGCGCCCAGGAAGGGCATTTCTGAAGGGGGGAATTGTAAGGGCAGAAGAATGAGCTCTTTGTGCCTCTGTTTCCTTATCTGGAAAAGTATAAAATGTCTGCTACATTTTTTTTCTTTTCTTTTTTTTTTTTTTCTGAAAATGTATCGCAGGCTTAGAAGCTAGAAACAATGACCAGGATTCATATTACATGGAACTGAAATGTTCCCATCTTCCTTTGAAAGACAAGAACCTGGGGCACCTGGGTGGCTCAGTCGGTTAAGCGTCTGCCTTCAGCTCCAGTCTTGATCCTGGAGTCCCGCGATCGAGTCCCGCATCGGGCTCCTTGCTCCGTGGGGAGCCTGCTTCTCCCTCTGCCTGCCGCTCCCCCTGCTTGTGCTCTCTCTCTCTGTCAAATGAATAAATAAAATCTTAAAAGAAAAGAAAAGACAGACAAGAACCAGAAAGGATCTTCTTTGGTTCACTTACGGACACTTGCTGCCCTTCCCGTGTCCTACTGCACTATTCCCCTACGTCAGTGTTATTTTCTGGACACGAGTCTTGTTGAATAATTGGTGTTTGGGAGAAATAAACTTTCTATGGTCAAACAAGTGTGAAGAGTACTGTGCTGATCAAACCCCAACCAGTGGTCTCCTACAGGTTCACTTGGTGCTTGTAACGTGCAAATGTGCAGTCAGACTCTAGGATGAGGGATCCATTTCTCTGATGTTTTCTGAATTCTGTCACCACTGAACTCTTCTCTTCCTCACCCTGTTGAACCTGCTGAGGCTGACTGACTACCAAGAGGGTGGTTTCACTAGTGACTGAAATAGTCCAGGCATTTTTCAATTCTCCACACTCCTTGAGAAAAACAAGTGTAGTTATCATGGGTTAGTAGGCTTCTTCTCAAGTGATTGCATTAGGGAATTAATGATTGCCCATTTATCGTCACAAAAACCCATGAGACGACCCTATTGTTTTCTCTGCTTACAGATAAGGAAACTGTGACACAGGGAATTTCAGTAACGTGTTCAAGGTCACACAGCCGGGACAGGCAGAATGTGGGATTTGATGTGCATGGTGTGGTTTCAAAGCCCGGGGAACAAAACTGCTCCTCTCCCAGCAAGTTATCCCTGTATTATGGGAGCCTGGGGAGATCCCTTCATTCTTCTGTACTTAATTTCATAATAAAATGGGGGCAATAATATCTACTCTATTTCCTCAAGTTATTGTGACATCTTGGGGGAGGGCACAGAAAAACTGTAAAAGTACAATGAAAGATTCAGCATGGTTAGTTCAATATCCAAATGGAGGGGTGCCTATGTTGATGCAGTTGGTAGAGCATGCAACTCTTGATCTCAAGGTTGTGAGTTCAAACCCCACATTGGGCGTGGAGCCTGCTTAAAAAAATTATATCCAATTGGAGAAATATATGAAATGGCTTATTTTTCTAGTTATAAACATTTTATTTTATTTTTTTTAAAGATTTTATTTATTTACTTGAGAGAGAGAATAAGAGAGAGCACATGAGAGGGGGGAGGGGCAGAGGGAGAAGCAGACTCCCTGCCGAGCAGGGAGCCCAATGTGGGACTCGATCCTGGGACTCCAGGATCGTGACCTGAGCGGAAGGCAGTTGCTTAACCAACTGAGCCACCCAGGCACCCTAGTTATAAACATTTTAAAGCCATAGTTATTCACTTGCCTTTCCCCTAGGCTACACTGTGTTTACTGTTCCTCTTGACAGGTGTTTCAAAGGTGTTGTAAGAAACAAACATGTCTTCTGCAGCTCAAAGTAACCACAAGCTCCTCTGGGTGAAGCTTCTTTTCTAGGCTCTTCAGGGGAACACTTGGTGCTTTTAGGCTCTAGGGATTGAGGAGTTTATATAAACATAACAAGAAATGTATAAGGTTCAAATTATTTGTATTGTCAAATCAAAGGCATAGGTATATGGCATGTGGAGGTTCGTGCTAGAAAAACATCTGAATAACGTGATACAAGACTTCTTTGTAAGGGGTGCCTGGGTGCTTCAGTTGGTTAAGAATCTGACTTGATCTCAGCTCAGGCCTTGATATCAGGGTTATGAGTTCAAGTTCTGCAATGGGGTCCATGCTGGGCTCGGAGACTACTGCAAAAAAAAAAAATCGGTTGACCACAGATACCTGGGTTTATTTCTAGGGTCATGAGTTCAAGCCCCATATTGGGCTCCTACTTAAAAAAAAAAAAAAAAAGACATGTTTGTAAATAAAACATGTTATTTTAAACTCAATTCAATGATACAGAGCTCATTCTCCAAAACACATGGAGTTGCAATCGCATTTAGTTTTGAGAGAGAGAGAGAGAGAGAGAGAAAATGTGCGTGCACGTGCACGTGCACGTGCATGTGTGTGTGTTAGAGGCCAACCATTCCTTGGTTAATCTCCAAATACTTGCATTCCACTTACTTCGTAGTAGCCCTGGAAGGTGAATAATCCTGGTTTGTTGCTCTTAAGCGGCTCATGGGCTAGTCAGGGAGACAGACGGGTAAGCAGCTAGGTACAAGACAACACGGGGTGGGCTTTAAAAAGAGGTCTGAACAAGTTCTCTTAGGGGCAGGCAGGCAGCGGGGCCAAGGGGCCGCCTGAGTGAACCAGAGGGTTTTCCTGAACGAGCAGCAGGGGTCTGCCAGACATGAAATGGAAAAAGGGCCTACCGGGCAGAGGTAGGTGGGAAATCCCGGGCACATCTGGCTCCGAGAAGAGGTGGGCGTTTGGTGAGGCTGACGATGGCGTTGTGTGTGGCACCGAGTGACAGTGCACAGGGCCGGGGCCAGAAGGGGCAAGGGCCTGAATGCCACTCTAGACTCCCTCCTCTTTGTAATGAGAGGCCACTGAGGAGTCTCAATCAGAAGAAAGACATAATGGAGCCATATTATGGGAAGATTCATTTATTAAATTTCGTAAACATTAACTGAGTGCCTAGTCCCTTTTTGGCCCTATGCCTGGGTCTGGGTCCATGTCGATAGAAGAGAAGAGACAAGACTGCTGCCCTCACGGAGTTTACAGAAGGTGTGTGAGGCAGACCAGGTCATTCGCAGTGTGGTAGGGCTATGGTGAAGTCCAGGGTGTCACAGGGGCACATTTGGGGGACACTTAAGTCAATCCTGGAGGGTGAAACATTTGCTCTCAGGCCTGGAGAATGTATCAGAGTTGTCCAGGACGGATATGGGGGAGAAGAGAGCTCTAGAAGGTGAATAGCATAACTCTGGCATTAATTTGGGATTTGAACTATGTACTGGGTAGATAAGAGATGGCGCCTGGCTTTCATTCTCCTGTGTATTCCCTTCACCTTGAGTGTTGGCTGCAGCTGGTGAGTAGCTTCTAGTGAACGAATAGAGAAAAAGTGATGTCACAGCTGAGATTAGGTTACAAATACACCTTGGCTTCCATCTCTCTCTCTCTCTCTCTCATTTTCCTGCTCTGATGGAAACCAGCTGCCATGTTGTGAGCTGCTCTATGGAGAGGACTACATGGCAAAGAAACCAAGGGAAGCTTCCGGCCAATAGCCCTTGAGGAGCCCAATCCTGCCAACCACAGAGTGACCTTGGAAGCAGACCCTCCCAAGTTAAGCCATGAGATGAGACTATGGCCCCAGGCAACACCTTCTCTGCAGTCTGTGAGAGATTGTGAGACAGAAGCACCCAGCTCAGCTGCACGGGGATCCCCATATCACCGAAGCCAGAGGATAATAAAGGTTTACTGTTTCCAGCTGCTAGGTTCAAGGGCCATTTGCTACGCAGCTCTATATAACCAATACAAACAACAGGGGTAAGGGGGAGAAAACCACAGGTCAGTAAGTTTATTCTCCATCCCTCCTGCAGTGGGGGAAGAGATGCTCTTGGGAACAGAAAGGACCTTCCCCTTAAATTCTCTAGTTCCCCTTATCTCTACTCACCACCATTACCTTGAGGTGCACCAGCCAGAAAGTGGTCTCGCCTGTTCCGCAGATGGTCCAGATGGGGTAAGGCTCAGTCCTTTTCTCCAGTGGGAAAAGAAGTAGGCTCGGAGTGAGGCGAGAGAAGGAAGTGGAGCTCCCAAATGCCAGGATCCTCTTTTTGGTTTGTTTGTAAAAGTGAAATTAAGTGTTGGCTGAATTATACATAGCCAAAATGCACACTTGATCTGGACTATGTTTGTTTAATGGGGAAACAGCTACACCAAGACAGAGTAGGTGGGGAACCAAGTTCCACTGTGGGGCAGAAAAATAAAAATACATCAGAGAGAAGGGGCTCCTACTGAGCCTGGAACCTTAAGTCCATGTCCACTGACCTGGAGACCCTAGCGTCCACTTGGGCTCAATATCAGTCTTTTTCACCAGCCCCTGGACTCTCCTTGCCCAGGTCCCATATTCCAGTTAACTTGACTTTTTCCAGTTCCTTATACACAACTAGCAGGTGGAATCCATACTTCTCTGCCTGGCAGGGAAGAGTAAATATTAATATACTAATAGAAAATGAATAAAATAGGGTTCATGCCTAATGAGAGTTTTAAGGAAGGCTTGAAGTCTGTAACTACCTTCAAATAGAATGCTATAATAATAGACATCTGCCAACGTGTCCCCTCTTGGGTTCCTGGATTCCAACTGCACTTAAGAGGGCTCTTTACAGTATTTCTAATATTTAAGAAGTTTTAAGGGAAATCATATAGTCATTTCTGTTATGGCCCCATAGGCTAACCAAGAAGTTATTATATTTTTTCTTCATGGAAACATCAGTAGGAAATCAAATGTCTTTTTGGTTTCCTAGTTTTATTGAGATATAATTAACATATGACATGGTATTAAGGTATACAGCATAATGATTTGAGATATATATATATATGTAGTGCAAAATAAATTTAGTTAACATCTGTGACCTCACAGTTACAATTTATTTTTCCTGTGATGAGAACTTTTTTTTTTTTAATTTTATTTATTTATTTATTTGTCAGAGAGACAGTGAGAGAGAGCACAAGCAGGGGGATGGGCAGGCAGAGGGACAAGCAGGCTCCCCGTTGAGCAAGGAGCCCAATGATGCCCGACTTGATCCCAGGACCCTGAGATCATGACCTGAGCTGAAGGCAGACATTTGACCGTCTGAGCCACCCAGGGGTCCCGAGAGCTTTTAAGATCTACTGTCGGGGCGCCTGGGTGGCTCAGTTGGTTGAGCGACTGCCTTCGGCTCAGGTCATGATCCTGGAGTCCCGGGATCGAGTTCCGCATCGGGCTCCCTGCTCGGCAGGGAGTCTGCTTCTCCCTCTGACCCTTCCCCCTCTCATGCTCTATCTCATTCTCTCTCTCAAATAAATAAATAAAATCTTAAAAAAAAAAAAAAAGATCTACTGTCTTGGCGACTTTGAAATGCACAATACATTCTTGTTAACTCTGGTTGCCATGCAGTATGTTACATCCCCAGGACTTATAACTGGCAGTCTGTACCTTTTGACCTCCTTCATCCATTTTGCACCCCCACCCCTAGCAACCACCAATCTGGTCTCTGCATCTGAGTTCGAGGAATCCAAATTTCTGATTACCCTGTAAATATATTTTGATAAGGATAAGGAATCTTTTGAAATAAGAGATCCATGAATGAAAACAAAGACAATAGGACGTTCTTGATCTTGAAGAGGTTGGGAACCACTAGTTTTGACCAGCCCCCTATGTCACAAATGAGAAAGAAGGTTGTGTGATGTGAAGTGACAGCCATTGTGTGGCAGAAACTCTGCCTAGAACCCAGGCCTCCCAGCTCTGTGTCAGCAATCATTCTACAGCCCCATAGCAACTCTCCCTTCATGGAAAGGACAGATACATTTCTTAAATGTTTGGACAAAGGCAAGGAGCAAGAAATAGTGGTGGAAATTATAGGGAGGGAAATTTTTGTTTTGTATAGCAATGAACAAACAAACAAACAAACAATGGTTGGAACTCTTCCACCAGGAAAGATGCTTCCTTGAGGGTGTCTGGAAAAATTGTGAAACAATTAAGATGGAAAAAAAAATAAAAAAGATTACCAGGTGTCAGATGGCCTGCTAGGCCTTTCTGGGTTATTTGCTTTTATTATTGATCTGTGCCTCCTATGGTCTTGTAACTATTTTACAATTCTGTAAATTGTAGAAAACTGCTGGTAATGCAAATAATTCTTGTCCATAGAGATGCAAATGAAATCTTTCTGATGGAGGTGCCATTGATCTCCTCCCACCCCCAGAAACCAGTATTCAGCATTCCTGATTGCCTGTATATGTGTGTTCTTTGGGTCCTTCTCTAAACAGTTATTTTTTGACACTTTAATCATTCCCTCATTAATTTCTCAGGACCCTGGGATCATGACCTGAGCCGAAGGCAGACGCTTGACCGAATGAGCCACTCAGGAGCCCCTGATTTTATCTTTTTAAAAACAATTACCATTTTTTTTTTTTAAGATTTTTAATTTATTTTTTGACAGAGACAGCGAGAGAGGGGACACAAGCAGGGGGAGTGGGAGAGGGAGAAGCAGGCTCTTCGCTGAGCAGAGAGCCCGATGTGGGGCTCGATCTCAGGACTCTGGGATCATGACCTGAGCCGAAGGCAGACGCTTAACGACTGAGCCACCCAGGCGCCCCTAAAAACAATTATCATTAACAAGGAGGCCTTGAATGTTCCATCTCTGGATGTGTTCAGGCAGAAGCTGAATGGCTAACCCTGATCCTTATTCCAGACTCCTATGGCCCTTTCCAGACTTTAATGTAGAGCTGTTCACATATCTGTTTCCCTCAGGAGACTCTCTTTTCCTAAGGCGCGGGACCTAGCCATCCATCCCCACTAACAAAAATTTAAAGAAAGGTGGGATACGGTTTCTGACTTACTCACCTTTTCCATTTATGACCACCAGGGGGCGCAGAAACCTTCCTTTACCAAAGTCGGGAACCCACCTAAGGGAAGGCCGGGGGTGGAAGTGTAGCCTACAGGGAGCATCTGGGCTGAGAATCACAGAGTTCATCCATCCGACCGCCTACAGACCGTATCTTTATGGGAGGCGATGAAGTCAGCATGGAGCAAGCACTACGATCGCTGAAGAGGGCAAAGTTCTGTTAGAATTACGAAAATATTTACAGCCTTTTAACCTGAATACATCTAGCACATTCTTCTCCTGACTTGAGAATTCAGTCTTCGGACTGCCAGACCCACTTGCTGAGCATCGCCCTCCTAGGGATAGATCATTGATTCCCAAGGGGGAAGACGAATGGGGAAGAGGGAAGAGAGGGTGGGGTGGGGTGTAGAGGGAGGGGTCAGCACGAAGATCCCGCCCACTTTTTCAGAAGACACATCCCACCCGGGAATCTACACCGCGTAGGAACTGGGACCGCTTCAGCTTTCCGAATAGATAGTAACACACATCTCCATCTTACCACCCTGCGCTATGCGGTACGAGCCAGTCATTCCTCCTCTGTCGCCCGGGCCTCACGGCACACCGAAGTGGGTATTTACTCTGACTTACAGACGCGGAAACGGAGTCCCGTAGAGAAACGGCGACTTCCCCAAACTTGTACACATTCTTAGCAGCAGGTGTTGACTTCAACATTGGACTGCTTCCATTTCTCGGAGGAGCCCCGATTGCCTACGGTGTCAAACCCAAATTCTTCGCCCCCACCTGTTCCGTCCCGTCATACTCCCAGTTATTTCCTCTAGGAACACGCGTCCACAGCGCCAACCCGCAGGCCCCTGGACGGCCAGTTCCGACACTCGGAGCGCCCTTCCTCCCGGCGGGACGCCTGGCTCTCCCTCCCGCCTGCTAGGCGCAAAGCGCATCGCCAGGGTTCTCGGTTCGCGGGACTGTGTGCGGCTGGGCCCGGCACAGCCTGGTGCAGCCGGTGAGCGGCGGGCGGGCGGAAAGGATGGGCTCTCCAGCAGGACTTCCCCGCCCCCCGAGGGGCCAGCCGCGCGGGTAGCGGGAGCCGTGGGGGCGGAGACCCGCTCGGGCCCTTTAAGGAGGAGCGCGGGGCGCGGCCCAGGTGAGGGGCGGGCCAGCCGGGCGGATCTGCGCTGCGCGCCGGCGCCGACCCTGGAGCCGGATTTGGAGCGCTCGGCGCCGGCGGGGCCGGAGGGGGCGGCGCGGCGGAGCCTCCAGTGGCCTCGGACGCTCCTCTTAGCCCGCGGCCGCCGCCCGCCTCCGCCTTTGCCTCCAGCTCCTTCGCCCCGGCCCGGCCGGCCACCACTTCCGGCCGCTCACCTGGGACGCGCTCACCTGCCTCCGGGCGCCTGGGCACCGGGATGAAGGACCGGCTGGAGCAGCTGAAGGCCGTGAGTCCCGCCGCACCCGGGAACTGGCGGGCCGGGGGCTGCAGCTGCGCGGGAGAGGGCCTTCCCTTTGCTCCCCACATCAGGGCTAGAGGGGGCCCCCGCGCGAGGCCTGAGCCCCCCGAGCTCCAGCCGCATCTGCGCCCCTTCCGCACCTCCCTCCCCTCCTCTTCGGGGTCACGTGCCGGTGATTCATCCCTGGGCTGCGATTTCCGTGGATGCCAGCAGCTCTTCCCCCCCCCCCCCGGTCCCTCCCCCAAGCTGGACAGTGTCACTCCAGAGCTGGGGTCCGCAGGTGGGGGCTGCCTGAGCCCAGCGAGGTTCTCTTTGAGGTCAGGGGTCACCTCCACCTGCCTGCTACTGCCTGGCACTATGCCCAGGGGCAGCCTCCTCCTACCCTCCCTTCTTGTCTCCCTGGGCGGGGGGCGGTGTCGAATCGGGCTGCCCCTCCCCGCCAGGAGCAGCTCAGAGTTCCTGGGTGACCTCCTGAGCTGTGAGCTGGTCACATGCCAGGATGGGCCCCGCTCCTCGCCATTCCGAGGTCTATAATTATTAATTTCTCCGTCATCCTCGGGACAGCTGAGCAAAGGATCCGAAGGTAGACCGCCTCCCGTCCTACTGCACAAAAGCTGTAAAACCTCAGGCTACTTACTCTTCTGAGCGTCTGTTTTCTTATCTGTCGAGTGAGGATGATCATAACTTAGAGATTTGTTATGATATCAAATGACATAATGGGGCTTGATATGGAGAATTGTTAAAGCGTAGGTTTTTGAGTCACTGACTCATTCAACAAATAATTACTGAGCACATTCTATGGGGCAGGCCCCCTGCTAAGCCCTGGGGATTGGGTGACACAGGCTCTGTCTTCACGGAATTTTATCATTTTATTATTATTATTATTATTTATTCTTATGTTAATCCCCATACATTACACCATTAGTTTTAGATGTAGTGTTCCATGATTCATTGTTTGTGCATAACACCCAGTGCTCCATGCAGAA